GTAAGTAATTTTTCTTGTCGTATGTTTCCGATCTGCAGCTAATCTTCTATGAAATAGACTCTCGCTTATCAAACAATTGCTATCTCGGTTGATTTCCATCGGGAGCCGATACTTTATTTATCATGTTAAATTGCTTGCATGTCATTGGTTATTGAAACAGCGGTTATTTTGTGATAATCTATGGTCTTGTGGTCGCAAAACTGGCTGATTCAGGGTCATTCATGTCAGGCGTGTTTAATTTGCATCGCTACAAATGCACATTGCACGGGAATTCTCTTTATTTTGACCTTGAAATTGCTACATTAACTGCCTTAAACGTCACTATAATTCATTGGAAAACCTGCAATTTTCATAAGGTAAAGCTACAACTTTATTCGGTCTTTAAAATGTACAGTATGCTGATTTATGCATGTTGATTTATGCGAGAGAGAGAAGTGAACTTCCCCGAGTCTTATCTCATGCGAGATGCTAAAAGTATTCTTTAATAGTTTACTTGAACCGAGGGGAAATGACTATTACAGTCACATAATCACCTCTCTAATTACTTAGGAAATAATGTATTAACTTCATTCGAAGCATCTTCCATCGGAAATCCCCCTTCAAACGTAATTTAAGCTCTTTTGGAGAACTGCACCAATTCGTTTCACAAATTTCGAGTGAGTATATTTTTTTCAAGTTTTGTTAGTTTCCAATCTCGGACGCTGTTGGAGGCTGATTGGCTTATTTGAGAAGTTTTTCGGATGCTTTTTGTCGGTCTACTACTAACATCAAGGGCTGATTAAATCAACATCTTTTGAAATTCTGAAGACCAAATTTGAATCGATCAGTAATAACTTCATCTCGCATTATCAAGTAATTGTTAACAGCGATCTTGAGCAATATTGAAAAGCGGTTCATCGCTCTACGCATGCGCACGTTAAAATCTAATTTAGGTTTTCCAATGGTTGATAACGCGTTGACCGCGACAGAGGAAATACGATTTTCGAGGTGTTACACAATTAGGTCTTACTTTCTATTACAGTAATTTACTACTGTTCTGCGCATGCTCAGTTGGCTAATTAGTTCAAAGCGATAAAAGTGTTGCTAACGAGTGAGAGCAAACACAGGCTTATTGGAGGGCAGGTTTTTTAATACGACACGTTTTTTCATTTCCTCTTTCAAATGCATTTAGTCAAGTTTCATAGCAGAAATAGAACCTGAAAACATTTAGAGGTCATGATAAGTTAGTTAAAAGATCATATCCGGCCCATGCCACCGTTATGGGTACCTGTATATATTTCCAAACATAACGCCGTTACATACAATAGCGTAGAGAAGCTCATTAGGGTCTGTGCACGATATCTAAACTCATTAGACAGATTAAGATTCTCGTTTTCCCTGGGTACCTGTACCTATTTCCAATATACGCCGTTACATACAATAGCGTAGAGAAACTCATTAGGGTCTGTGCACGATATCTAAACTCATTAGACAGATTAAGATTCTCGTTTTCCTTGGGTACCTGTACATATTTCCAATATACGCCGTTACATACAATAGCGTAGAGAAGCTTATCAGGGTCTGTGCACGATATCTAAACTCATTAGACAGATTAAGACGAGGAGTTCTCGTTTTCATCGTTTACCTTTGCTTCGTCTTACCTTTCGTAAACCTTCTCCGCACCAAAAACATATACCTTCGTGTATATACTACTTGAATATTTTTGCGATTCATTCTAAAGAAGTTTTTAATGGCGAACTGAAGTTTCTCTAATATCACCATTAGTCCAGTTTCGGGGGCCTGGCCGGCCTACCGTTATGGTACCTGTATATGTTTCTGATACACGCGGTTATATACAATAGCGTAAAATAGCTCATTAGGGTCTGTGCACCTTATCTACGCCGTTAGACCAGTTTCGAGGGTTGGCCGGCCCACCGTTATGGTACCTGTTAGGCTGTCCCGCATGACATTTCTGATATAGCTACTTAAGCTTTGTGCGCGATTCCAACATTTTCGCTTGAAATAACAAAAAAATATTCCTCGATGGTATCGTTAGGACAGTTTTTGTTTAGATTGAAAGCGAAGTAAATATAAGACTTAGGAAACTAAATTAAAGAGGAAACAAAAAGCCGATGACAACCTTTTTTAACGATAACATGAATCCGGACTGCAATTTTGAAATATTTAATATCGAAAGTTCAATAGGACCAATTCGACCTTTTTTCATTTACTACTATTCTTTTAACTCTTTTCCTTCTTTCTTTTATTTCCTCAATTTCATCACAAACTTTTAAAAGAACAAATAGATTGATGAAGGAACCAAGAAGGAATTAATTAGAATTTTGATCTTAATTTTTTGGTGAATTAAAAACCGGAAAGACCGTAGAAAGCCCTCGAGAACCAACAAGCGCCTCTACTACTACTACTCGAATAGTATGTTGGCAGGTCCAAGGTGGAACCCACAGCAAACCGGCATTAGGCGCACCACCGGCCTCGAATACCATCGAATATCAAGAAAAATATTCTGAGTTTGAGATATTCTACAACGACTCAAATGGCACTAAAATGGCTTCCTGTGTTGGAGCATCATTATTGCTTGTGCTGCGTGCGTTTTTGTAACAGATTTTTTTATTGGTTCACGGCGTTGGAAACCGTTTTAGTGTTCTGTTATACGGTACGTTTGCTCCCCGTACGAAATCTGCACACAAGAAATGCGTTTCAGGAAGAATCTTTTTGACGTTCAAAATAACAAAACTGTTTGTTTTACAAATAGAGGAAAGGAGCTTTGTTTAGATAAGCCAAGAAACAACATTGGCAGATTTCCTGTAGAYGTATAATCAATTATAAGATACGTTATTCAGTTCTCATCCTCTTATAGAACAAAACAACCCTTGATATCAAAACTACTTTATCTTAGGAAGCGCCGAAGTAGATTAGGGTATTGTATTGAGATAGATAACTTGTTTATTTGAAAGGATAAATGCTTATTTATTATTCCATCAGCTTTTAGTTAAAGTGTTGTGGCTTTTAAACGTAGCAAAAACAAGTAAAAAATCTAGTTTATTTTCGTTCAAGTCACATCCGACCTACTTTTGGTACTCATACGGTATTGATTTATAGACGAGAACTGAATGAGTTTGGGCAATATTCACTCGATTATGCCGGCCTAACAATATATAATATTATTTAGAGTAATTTCATTTTCATCAACAAAATCGTAATGTTCTCAGCCGATCACTTTGAATGGTTAAATTGAATTTATTTTATAATCATATTTTCGGTCTTAGTTTTCTCTCTCGTAATCAGGAAGTGTTTTTCTAAACCCCTCGGTTCTTCTTAAAGCCTTTTCCTACCTTCTCAAAAATATGGTAACATTTTTGCGTTTCATTTCGATGTTTAGAGGCTTTTCAAAACCAACTCGGATGATCTACCTTTTTTAGTAAGTTTGTTAACTGGGGGG